TTAAAAATTTTACGTCTTTTTTCTTTTTTAAAGATTTATTTATTTATTTTAGAGAGAGAAAGTGCACAAATGGAGGGAGGGGCAGAAGGAGAGGGAGAGAGAGAAAGAGAGAAGCAGACTCCCTGCTGAGCAGAGAGCCCACCATAGGGTTCGATCTCACAACCCTGAGATCATGACCGGAGCGGAAATCAAGAGTTGGCCACTTAACTGACTAAGCCACCCAGGCACCCCTAGAAATTTTACTTCTTGTATTCATCTTCCATAACTTAGTCTCAAAACCTACTGGCTCACAGGTAGACAGCTTTTCTGCATGAAAGGTTACAAATAGATTTTTCAGAGTGATTCAGCTTCCATCATTATCCATCTACTTTCTTTTTCTAGAAACCCCTTTCCATGAAAGCCTCTGAGTATAGCTCTAGGAGTTAGAGTAATATAGGTATTTCCTGATTCTTGTTCTAAATTAATAAAATAAGAGTAACAATACTAATTTTTGTGTAAATCATTTTGAGGTTTACAAATTATTACCACATTACCCATTTATTTCTCAAAACCCCAGGATGAAGGCAAAATGTGTATTACTATTTTCAATTTTGTACATTGAAAATAGTTTAAACTGGTCCTGTGACGCCAAGACCACTCAGCTTTATGTAGCCAAAACATGGGAAACCCAGACTGGAACCCTTGCATTTCAAGTCTGAGACAGTGGTTTCCTAAACTTTGGCTTGAATTTGTTCAAAGTGCAGATTCAATAGGTCCGGGGTGGGATTTTGGAATCTGCTTTGGAGGCAAACATCTAACACTTGTGTTTCAATGGCCATACTCTGAAAAACGCTAATCTAGAAACTCCTTTTTCCCTTCTCTCTTAAAGGAAAAAAAAAAAAAAAAAAAGGCTGATCTCACCTCTTACCAATCAAAGGAATTTTTTTTTTTCCCTTGGATAAGTAGGGCCCCCAGCTCTTCTTTTCTGTGACTTACCCACACACACTGATAAAGTTAATTATCTGCCCTGGCTAAATGACTTTCCCTAGCAACACCCTAGCAACTAACATCAGCTCTGCCTTAGGCTACAAAACTGGAAAGAGATTTCTTGAAGTCCAGTGTATTTTACAACAGAACAAAACATCTGAACAGGAAATTAAATAGAAAGTAAACTGGATTCATTGCTAAGAGATGAGACATAGACACACACAAAACAGTTCATGTCATGACAATCCACCAGAACACAATAGTCAAAATATGGAACTTTCTCCTCGTAAGTTCTACTGATGTCTAGAGGAGAGAATGCAGGATCTCATTCCACGGAGGAGGGAATATAAATGGGTTGCAGGAGAGGAAGGCATTCTAGGTGATGGGAAAGCTACTGGCAAACGTGCAAGGTAGGACTAAAAGTGGGGGACACAGGGAACCCAGCTGACAGCACTGAGAGCTCAGTCTGGGGCCTAGAACCAAATCATGAAGGGCCTTGAAGGTCACTTGAAGAGCTTGGGCTGTGAACGACTTTTTATTCCTAGAACATGGGGTGCATGGAGAATAGGGTGGTGAACCACAGAGGCAGTCCCTACCCTTACAGAGCTTGGAATCTAGTGACAGAGACAGACATGGAATAAATACAAAATGTGACAATCAAATATAAAAATGAATATGGAATTATAAATCTTGAGAACATTAAGAGAAAATATATCAGGTTCCAGGAGAGCATATAAGGAGGAGCATATAAATAGGCAATCAGGAAGGACTCCTCTGAGGAAGCAGTTTTGCACGGAGATCTGAGAGATGCTCAGAAGTTGGCTGAGGATGGTGGCAGGTGGGAGAGACTATAGGCCAAGAGAACAGGACAGGCACATGCTCACAACACCGAGGAGCCCTGGGGGTTGGAGCCTGTGACAGAAGGGGTGCATGGCCTGAGAGGATTCAGGAGGGCATTGGAGGCCATGTTGAAGATTCTTTCTTTGTTCTGAGAGCCCTGAAAAGCCACCGAAATGGGTTTTAACCTTGGGATTGACATTCAAGTCTGCATTTTAAAAAGGATCATTTGGTGGGGGAATGGGTTAGCCCCGTGATGGGTATTAAAGAGAGCACATTCTGCATGGAGCACTGGGTGTTATACGCAAACAATGAATCATGGAAAACTACATCAAAAACTAATGATGTAATGTATGGTGATTAACATAACATAATAAAAAAATAAAATTAAAAAAAGGATCATTTGGGCTTCAGCACAGAAGGCATATTGGAGGGCAACAAGAGTGGACGTGGGCAGCCCAATTAGGAGGCTGAGAGATGGTGACATCTGACTGGTGTGGTGGCAGAGGAGATGGAGAGAAGTGGACAGGTTCAAGAGGTAGTTAGAAGGTGAAACCTGGTGATGGATTGGATGTGCGGAGAGAGAACAGAGGTCTGAGGCGACAGCAGAGCTGGGTTGGGGAAATCTAGCTTGAGGAGTGGCCCTGGAGCTTGATGGGCTGCTTAAAGCTGGCTGTCATAGCCCAGATGATGAGGTCAACACTGTGTAGTGGGAAGAACCCCATTTTTGTGTTCGGTGAGGCCTATTTTGAATCTTGTATCTTTTCCCCTTACTAGCTGTGGCTCCTAGACAGGAGATTTTATAGGTTCCTAATTTGGGAAACAAGGCGGGAGGGGAAATGGGCCTCCTACTTGACATGGTTTTCCTGTCAGTGTTTAATAAAAAATTAACTCTTACATCCCTGCCCGCTCCATACCCGCCCATATCCGTGTTAGATTTGACTGTGTTGATTCAGATGAAAAGAGCACATATGTGGGTTATTGGACATACAGTAAGATCTGTAAAGGCAGAAGCCACATTTTATTCATCTCTGTATATTCATTCCCATCCTCTGAGATAAAATCTACACAACACTTATCTTAGTTTGTAGCATATATCACAAGTATAATTTGAAAAGATTGTGTAACTATGTATTTAATGTTTGCTTTTCCCACTGGATTGTAAGATCCACAAAGACAAGTAATAAGTCTGTCTTGTGTCCTAGTACTGAGCACATGGTCAGCCTTCAACATGAATGAATGAATGAATGAATGAATGAATCTTTGTTCCCTATGGGGCCCACTGCTGAGCACAGACTTGGCACCAAATCTGCACTCAATAAGAGCATGCTGGATGATTGGCACTATGCACCACAGAATCTAGCATGAGCTCCAAGCCAGTGACATGGGAGATAATTCACTTGGGACACAGACATGAATCCGAGTGTCACCTCTATGAAGGAGGGCTGGTCAGCTGGATCAGGTGCTCCTGAGGGTCAAAGAAGGTCAGGACTGAGAAAAAAGCAGAATTGGGGGCGCCTGGGTGGCTCAGTCGTTAAGCGTCTGCCTTCAGCTCAGGTCATGATCCCAGGGTCCTGGGATCGAGCCCCGCATCGGGCTCCCTGCTCAGCGGGAAGCCTGCTTCTCCCTCTCCCACTCCACCCGCTTGTGTTCCCTCTCTCACTGTGTCTCTCTCTGTCAAATAAATAAATAAAATCTTAAAAAAAAAAAAAAAAGCAGAATTGGCTTCAGTAAGGGGGCACTCGTGGGTGACTTCTGAGAGAAGGTGCTCAGTTAATAGTCTCAGCGGGAGTCCCAGGACAAGGATTGGAAAGTTAAGTGAGCAGGTGTGGAGGAATGGAGATTTCCAATGCAGACAGCTCTTCTGGGCAGTTAGTTAGTGATGTCAAAGAGGAAAAACCTGACCTGGAAAGCAAAGGAGATTGCTTTTTAAATGTAGGCATTTAAGATGTGTTGATGACCCAGGGGGAGGAAGAGGGGTCACCAAAACTTGTGAAAGCCCTTGGAGAGGGATGCTTGTCACACTGAGGGGAGGCAGGGGCCTTAAGGCTGTGGTACCCAGGACCAGCCCAGACCTACCCATTGGGGGGGGGCGGGGCATGGAGGCTAGGCCAGGTGTTTTATATGGGTCATTTCATTGGACTCTAGCACCCCCTAGAGGAAGGGCTTATTAGCCTGGAGGCGCACACACACGCACTCCCTCCAGAGCGTGAAACTGGAGGTTGGAGAGACTAAATAAATCGCCAACGCCTCGCAGAAGGTGAGTGGCAGGACTAAGGTTTGCTCCAAGTCTGTCCCCAGGGAAACACTGGTTGAGATTCCTTCACCTGGGCCTTTTCCTGTCTGGCCTTGGCGTTGGTGCCTCAGGCTCAGTTCCTCTCTAAACATCCCTTACTGGGGACTGAGAACCTGAACTAAAATCTAAGCCCAGAAAAGACAGACTTCTTTGAACCTTTTGAAACTCCTTTCTAGGGCTATATGAGGACTTCCCCGGGGCCTTAGGCACTTTTGTCTTTGGGATCTCCTTCCTTCATAAAACAACAGTAAACATTCTATTTTATGACTGCGTAGGTATAAGTAGAAATATATTAACATTATATAGTATAACATTTTATTAGACCTAAATGGTTTTTTTTTTTCCTTCTGATTTTAAAGAAAATATTTTCAGGAGTCTCCAAAAATATTACAGGCTGTAGGCGCTGTGCCTACTGGGCGCAGTTGGATGAGTCATTCTGCTCCTTTCCCATCCTCCAGTCTGACCTGCTCCAAAAGACCAATAGAGTCACACAGTCATGGCATCCGACCCTGCCTTAACTGTTTAGCTGCAGGCCTCAGTTTGCTCATCTGTAAAATGAGTGAAAGTGAGGTCATGTTTGTTGTGTGCAGGGAGAGTGGAGAAGGTGAGCAGAGACCCTTCGCCACCCACCCAGCATACTGGTAAGCACAAAGTAGGTGTGCAACAGAAGTTAGTTTTGTTACTCCGCAGGGTGCAAAGGTGTAGCTGGGGTTGGGGCAGCAGCCTCCTTGGTGGTGGGACAGAGCCCGTCGTGTCCCCGTGCCTTATGATTTCCTCGCCAGACCCTGGGAATCCAGCGTCGCAAAATAAACACGGCCGCGCAGCTAATCGCCAGCTCGGAAACAAAACAGCGCTGCGCTCGGGGATCTGGGCAAAGTCAGCCCGCCCTCCTCCCCCTACGCCGCCGCCCTCCCTTCCTCGCGCGGCTCCGCTAGCTCAGCTCAGCTCAGCTCGGCTCAGCGCGGCGCAGCTCGGCAGCCGCCAAGCCGAGACCCGCACGGTCTCCCGGTTGCCGGCGCCGGCTCCGAGCTCCCGCTCCCCGCCCGGGCTCCGCCAGGTCTCGCTTCTCCGGGGACCCCTTCGGGCAGGCGTCGCGTGGCGAGGGCCAGCGGCAGCGGCACAAAGTTGAGCGCCCGCGAGGATGAGGCTGTCCCCAGCGCCCCTGAGGCTGAGTCGGAGTCCAGCGCTGCTGGCCCTGGCGCTGCCCCTGGCCGCAGCGCTGGCCTTCTCCGACGAGACCCTGGACAAAGTGCCCAAGTCGGAGGGCTACTGCAGCCGCATCCTGCGCGCCCAGGGCACGCGGCGCGAGGGCTACACCGAGTTCAGCCTCCGCGTGGAGGGCGACCCCGACTTCTACAAGCCGGGAACCAGCTACCGTGGTAAGTGGCCCGGCGTGGCGCTGGGGGCGCGGAACCCGGCCCCCGGAAGGGCGCCGACCGCGCGGTGCCGGAGGAGGGCGCATGGTCCCCGGGCGCACGGTGCCGGCAGAGCCCGGCAAGGGCCCCCTGTCCTGACCGCCCTCAGCCCCTCTCGCCGCGAGCTCCGCGCGGCTCCCGAGCCCGCGTCCGGGGCCGTCGTGGGGGCCGCAGCCCGGCGGGGCAGCTCCATCTCCGACGCGCGGTTCTCGGGCGTGGGCTGCAGCCGGGCAACGCGCCACGCCGGCCTGGCTGGGAGGGAACCTGGCTTCTCCCCACCCCGGCCCGCGCCGGGAGAGCAGTGGAAACCCGTCTTCCTCCAGATCCGCCTCAGGAGTGGAGGGAGCCCTGGTTTCTCTCTGTCGGGTGCCAGACCAGGTGGGGGACAGCCTTTCCCCTCTCTCGTCCCTGAAGGGGAGGATACCAGCTTCTCTCAGAGCAGCCCCCCCGGGATGGTCACCCCGGTATCCTCGGACAGATGCCTTCAGGAGAAGGGACTTCGGCTTCTCCCTTGACTGGTCCCGGGGCACGGGGAGGAGGGGAGGAAGAGCCTGAAGCTTTCGGAAGGGTCCCCGGCAAGAACTCCAAATAATTTTCCGATGGTCCCAGGCGAGGGAGAAGAGTCTGGATTTCTAGGACAGGCTTCCAGTGGAATGGGCCTCCGAGGAGCTCTGTGTGGGTTCGAAATGGGAAGGGAAACCCGGTGAAGACGGAAAGGGAAGTCCAAATTCCCGAGGCCTGCTCCCTGGAGGTCGGGGGACCCTGGCTCCAGCCACCCCGAGGCTCTGCGCCTGGGGGATGTAGCGCCTACGCTCCTCGGCTGAGCGCAGGGAGGGGATGTCCAGGCAGGTGAGCGCCTCCTGGCCAGGAGAGCCCCTCGACCCGCGCAGACCTGAAGCCCCCTGACTCCATCCCCGCCGCCCGCCGCCTCTCTCCGCAGCCCATCATCTCCCCCAGACATCTTTTCCCCGCCGTACTCCAGTGGGGAGACAGGACCTGAGGCAGGGAAGGAAGCCTGCCGGGTCTCACCTGGGACTCCGCGGGCGGGGAGTGACGGGCTGCCTGCTCCCCCCCCCCCCCGCCCCCCGGCTCTTCGTAAGTCAGCCCTGGTGCCTCGCAGGGAAGAGCGGGTCTTGGGGGCAGCTGGTGGGCTCGAAGCCGCCGCCCTTGCATCCCCGCCTTCCGGGTTCCCAGAGCGCTGCGGGGGGAAGCGGTGGGAGAACACTGGAGAAAGTTTGGGCCACTGTCAGCGGGCGTCCCCGCCGCACAGTTCACCGTAAGCAGGCGCTACCCTTCCCGGAACGCTTCTCCCGGTTTTCCGGGATTATGTCCCCGGGATCGTGTCCCAGACTCTGTCCACCCGGAGCTTCCCAGAGCTGCGTCCGGGCGCCCCCCGCACGTGGCGGCGCTCAGCGCAGGGCGAGCCCCCTGACTCCCCGCGCGCCGGCCGGCGGGACCCTCGGTACTGCGCGGAGAAAGAACCCCCGGGCAGCCCGGGAGGGAGCCGGCGGGGTAGCGGGGCTGCGGGTGCGGCCACAGCCTTTCCGAGGAGTTGGGAGACAGCCAGTCCTCTCCGTGGACTGGAGGGAGGACGGCGAACCCCCCTTCGCCTCTTGAGGCCTCACCAAAACCGAGGACCTGGTTTCCCTGGGGAACCCGCCCAAGCTCCACGTGGCAGGGAAAGAGGCAGCTTTAGAGTCAGAGGGACTTGGCTTTAGTAGCCGTGTGACCTTGTGCAAGTCCTTTAATTTCTCTGAACTTATTTCCCGGCGGTGAAAGTAGCTATTTATCCAACAGCTCTGGTGGTTGTAGGGAGTAAAGGAGTTGACAAAGATGAGTGTACCTGAGGGTCCCAGTACATGTTTGTTTGAGTTGGATGTGAGGCCCTTATTGGTTTAATAACGGAGGGGTGTGCCTAGTCAGATTTGGTTTTGATGTGTGTGTATGTGATTAAAAGGTGTTCTCAGCACAATCTACCAGTGAAAGGTGGCTATCTGGGTCCTCATGAATTAATGGAATGAATGAATGAATGATTTCTCCACACTAGCCTAAGATTATTATTAATATAAGCCCAAGAGGATATTTTTAGGTGATTTAGGCAAGTCGGGGGGCCCATGCCCAGAGTCTTACCAGGCATTTCTTCCCACACAAATCCTCTTGAGCTATGTGCGACAGGTACCCCAACCCTGGGGAGCAGGGGCACCTGGTATTCACATGATTGGCGGGGTTCCACAACTGCCAGAGTGTCCATGGCCTGGAGGTGAGAACCGGGACTAGGGGACAGGGGAGCACTAGACTTTCACCTACAGGTTTTTCCAGCCTAAACATTAGCCTTTTGGACTGTGACTCCCCGCTCAGGCTGTTGGCCTGTGGTCACCTCTTCTCCCTTCTGGTGCCTAAGAGATCTTGAAAGGAAGATGTTGCAGGAACCATGCCCCAGCCTTCTGAATAAATACTCTGAGATTAGCAAATCTGATTCCGCCACTCAAAGTTAGGAAGAAAAGGGCGCTTCCCTAGTTTGTGACATTTTCTGTTGGCTTATACTTTCTTAGAATAATTATGTTAAAAGTAAATCAAATGCATTCTGCTCAGGTATTGACTCAGGGGCTGTGGGAGTTAACATTCCCCTGGTGTTCGAGTTGCTTTTTCACTTTTTCTTGAGTTAGAGCCCCTCACAAGCCTTGGAATCAATGGCTTGTTTTCCTGCCTGAAATCTTTGTCCCCAGAATTCCAGTACATCCCTGAATAGCTTCTGCTCTCCACATCCCCCACTCAGGATCTCCTTTAGGTATTCTACAGTGGATTAAAATGGTCACTGTTAAAAAAAAAAAATATATATATATATATATATATATATATATATATATATATATATATATATATATATATATATATATATATGAAAGCATGGGGTTTCTTCTCACCAGCCAGTATCCAATGGAGATTATTATTCAAACTTTTCCAAGTTGTTAGTACTATATTGACTTCCTTCTCTCTCCCACCACTTCTCTCTACTCTCCCTCCCTCTTTCCCCTTTCCCCCCTCCCTTGGCAATAATTGTGCTTTAGAAAGCTCTGAAAGGCCTGCTCTGTTTCTAACCATGGCCTCCTTTGACAGGGAGATTACAGTGATTAAAAATAACAAGTTGAGGATCCTCAAGGGGCTTCCCTTATAGGAGGACAATTTGCAGGACCAGCCATTCCCAGATCACAGTTTCAAGCCAAATAGAAGAAAATCAGCTGAAATGTTCAAGAATTGATTGAAAATAAAAGAGGCTCTTTTGTCTGACTAAAGGTCTGTTTATTAGGAAAATAAAGCCAGACCCTGGCTAATGAGAGTGGCTTTTCCTAGATGCTCTTTAAAGGGAAATTTCAAGGAACTTGATGGGAAAAGAATGTCCAGTTGAGATTTCAAAAGCTTGTCCAACTTCAAGCATAATTGGGGGATTTATTCTAAACCGGGAGGTTTGGAGACCTCCAAAGCTGCTTGGCTTTCTCTTTCTTTGTCCCACTCTGGGGCACACAATGCCATAGGAGTGGGTGTCCCGGAGAGCTCCATCTCAGTCTGGTAGAAAGAGCATAGGCTTTGATGTTGACTGGGTCTGTTTCAACTTCTGCTCAGTCATAAATTCACTGTGTGACCTCAGGCAGGCCTCTTCACCTCTCTGAGCCACAATTTCTCCAGCTATAAAATGAGAGTGCTCCCCCACCTCTTACAGCATTGCTGTGAGAGTCAGAAATAATCTGTTTAAAAAAAAAAAAAAAGCTGTCATAGAGTAAGTGCTCAAAAAATATATATATTAAGATGATTATTTTGGAAATAGAAAAATACTTAGCAGTGACACTGGATGAGACATTGTGTTAAGTACTTACTACTCATCTCACTTATTCCTTACAGTACTTTGAGGCAATTTATTGTTATTCTTATTTTACAGATGAGAAGACCAAGTCATAGAGAGGTTTAGTAACTTGCCCATGATCACACAGCTAATAATCAGTGGAGTAGGATACAAACTAAGGGATGTCTGACTCCTAAATCTTGTTCTTAACCAGTCTTCTATCTTGACACATGAAATGAAGGGATAACAAAATGAATTGACTCTAGCTACCCTAGGCCTCCTGGATGGTGAGTCTTCATTGAAGGGAAGGAGCAACATTTCAAGATAATTGACATATCTTGGGATACAAAGTATAAAGTGATGGCTCCTTATTTACATTTGCTTTTTTTCTTTTTATAGACTTCAGGATTGCATTTCCTCATAAACCAGAGAATTAATTTAGAAACACGAACAACCTTGTCAATCTTTAGCCAATTCCTTTTGTTTGTGGGGATACAGAAACAAATTGGATAGGAAAAAACCCCTAATTTGCTGGTTGGTTTATTTTTACATGCAGATTTATACTACCATGCCTACAAAATTATGTATTTGTAAAGTACATATGGAGAATCTGAGAAATTTAAACTGGATAAGGTCTTTTAAATAAACTATTTCTGATCTAGTGGGGTTTAAAAAAAATTAAGTACTGCTGATGATATTATAATTACCTATAAGTCACCCCCCCACCTCTCCTCTTTTCTTCTACTATTCCCCTCTTTTTTATCATGTAACTTTATTTCTTAAACTTTGCCCCCTTTTAATAAGCATTTAGTTCAAATTGATAATAAAAATTAAAAGAGATTGCTTACTGCTTTGAGTTTCCTGAAATGGAAAAAAAAAACCATCAAAACACACAAAAAATGAAAGCCTATCGAATCGACATTTGTCAAGGTTAGAACTTGGGTACTCCCCCATACATGGTGAAATTGTCATTCCATTGCTGCTGACGGACTCAACTGGAACAATAGGGTGTAATTGCTGATATGTTCACAAACATGGGCTGATATATCAAGAATTTTTCACTATTATTCTCCATTTGCTTGTTATATAGAGTGTCAGATGCGGCTCAATATTAATTTCTGTGGGA